GTGCAGGGGTTGGGCCAGCCACAGCTTCTCTGGGCAACCTGTTCCCGTGCCTCACCACCCACAGAGTGAAAAATTTCTTCCTTAGATCTAATTTAAATCTGCCCTCTTTCGGTTTAAAGCCATTATAATGAAACCACATATTACTAGATTGTTAAATTGATTGTTGGATTGAGAGAGACATTTTACAAGGGCTGGTAGTGATAGGACAAGGGGCAATGGCTTTAAACTGAAAGAGGGCAGATTTCAGTATAAGAAATTTTTTACAATGAGGGTGGTGAGGCACTGGAACAGGTTGCCCAGAGAAGCTGTGGCTGTCCCATCCCTGGAAGTGTTCAAGGCCAGGTTGGATGAAGCTTTGAGCAGCGTGATCTAGTGGAAGGTGGCTCTGCCTGTGGCAAGGGGCTTGGAACTAGATGATCTTTAAGGTCCCTCCCAACCCAAACCATTCTATGATTGTTAACAGTTCCATTCAGACGTTTCATCCCGTTCTAGTTGGCTGTTTCCGTGGTGTAAATGTGGTGGCATGTTATCTTGGTTTTGCCACGGACTTTGTATGCTGTGCAGATCATCCTGCGGTGAAGTCAGTAGGTCCTCTGGGATGCAAGAGTCTGCCTCCATAGCTCTCAGGAATGTTGTGACTTCAGGCCAGACTAAGACTTGGAAACTTAGCTTTAACTTTTTTATGCCTCCAGCTTGCATAAAAAAACGGAGAAGCCTATTTTCTAAGATATGGCGTTAGCGATTGTATTCAAAATGACCTGTACTGAGATCAAGTGGGCAAGATGGTGTAAAGTTGTAACTGATGTCACACATCTTGAGAAATAAAAGACGACAGCTGTTTTGGGGAGATGCTTAATGAGTAACAAATATATTCGTATGCAGCAGAAGATAGAGTGTGATTTTTTTTTTTAATTTTTTTTTCCACACTGTTAACTCTAGCTGCTGAATCTAGTAGTTAAGTTACAATACAGTTAACTCTGCTCCATAGTACCTTAAATCAAACCTTTTAATACACAGTAACAAATTGTTCTTGTGATCATCTCTAATTTGATCTTAAACAAAATGAGGTGTCATTCACGTTAAAAACTGTGTTCCAGGATACAGCCGTACAAAGAAGGGGAGGCAGACCTGAGCTCGCTCTGACGAGCTTTGCATGGTTGAGACCATGTCTATGTTACTTCAGTATTGGTGACTCACTGCCAGACATATTCTGCATCTGGGCTGGTTCTTTAGTTTCGGCACAGGGTCAGACTAGTGTGGAGTTTATAGTCCCAGGCTGGCCAGTGTTTTGCCAGCTTTGAGTGCAAGTGAAGAAGCTCCGTCTGTTCACCGTTGTCCGTAGGTGGATGCTTTCAAAGGTCAAAATGTGAACAAAGAAAACAAGTTAATGCAAAAGCATTGTTTGATATATTTATTTGCCCCTCTTACTGTCCTTAGAAATTAGGAGAGGACGTGTACAATTAGCTTGAAAACCTGCCAAAACAAGTATAAACCTCTTGAGAAATCAATAATTCAAATAAGTGTTGCTTTCTTCTGAAGAGCTTTCCTTTTAAATCTTTTTATTTGACCCCAAGGTGGCATCTTAGCATCTGTTAGTAACCCACTTATTGGAAAAACAGTTTCTTCAGAAGGTAGCTTGTTAGTTTGTGACTACTAGCAGCTTCTCTACAACTCTGTGCTCATTTGAACCTTTTGCTCTAAAATTAAAATTATTTCTGCTGATGTTACTTCCTCAATCCACTAAACTTTGTAGTGTCTTGGTTTACGTTTTCCATCTTTATGGATGGCAGTGTTAGGGATTGCTGTGGAATGTTTGCATTTGAGTCCAGCTCACAGCTTGTCTGTGTTGTTTCCTCTGTGTTGCCATTCCCATTTGTTTGTAGTGCCTGGGTATAAAAAAAATAAAGTACAAAATCTCCAGTATAAAGCGAAGCATTTGCTGTGGTCTTCAAGCCATGATTTTAAGCTTTTTCATTCACTGTTGTCTAACCTATTACTCTGCTGTATTCAAGAATGTGTAGACACAAGAATTAAATCCTTTTGTGGCTTCATTTCTACTATATGAACTTCTTTTCTCATTTTTTTAATAGGTTGTTAGATATTTTAATTTAGAAACATTTTATTTTTTATCATCATGCACATATTCCTGTGTAAAATAATAAAAAAAAAGAAATCTAACAGGACAGTTACTTTTTTTTTTTTAACTTCAGGTAGCACTGTTATGTTTTGCAAATGAAACCTTGTATTTGAGTTTTCTGGTAGATGTGGCAGCTAGAGATTGTGTTGGAAAAAGAAGAATCTTAAAGAAGTGAAAGTGACATGAAAGGAAGTAGATGACCCTCTTACTTACAAGTCATCTTTTATACATATATATTCTCTATGCTAAGGAGTGCCAAAAGCCTTGTTGCATGGGTAATACTGATATTGTTGAAAGGAAAGAAAGTGTCTGCACATACAAGCTGTAGTTTAAAAACTGTGATTTTAAGGATTGTAATACTTAGCAGCATTTGCATGTATTTTTGTCTATTTTATATGCAAATAGATACATCTTTTCTTCTTCACTAGAGAAATTTCTAAAACACTGTGTTGTTACTTCTCCAATCTAGAACAAAGAGAGTCTATCTGCTGAAATTACTGATCTCAGCATTATAATGGAATCTGGAGAAGATTTGGATGTGAGCAAGTTTGTGTCGAGGTAAGGTGGAGTTTTTCAAGGCCATATGTGGGATATCTGATACGAAATGCAATGTGGAGTTTTCATGTAAATTGCTGGCAGACAGGTTCTTTCTTTGGTAACGTACTGTTAGCCCGACCTAAACACTTCTGATGCCTTGCCTGTGTCCTTCTGGAGAGAAGATGAAATGCACGTTATTTTTAAGACCTGAAAGGACCATTGTGAATTCATGTTAAAAAGAAACAGTTTTTGGATTATAATGTGTTTTTTCACTGTTTGAAATTGCTTGCTTCAGAGAAAGGTACAGCATGGTAATCTCAGTTAATACATTTTAATTTGTGATCAACATGTTCCCTGGTACTCAGATGTGCACGTGAGTTGTAGATGTGCCATGTGGGTGAGCGATGGCTAAAGTGCACGTGTAGAATCCTTCTCCAGGTCTTGCCTGTTTCTAATTCTCTCCTCACCATTCCATTTCTCTTCTTTGCATCAGGATTTCTTTCGCTGATATTCTAAAAACAATAGAATACAATTTAAAAACCTGGAATAGTGTATTTGTGCAATGGCTTAAGGTGGAGTACGTTCTAAAACTTAAGCATACGACTGAATGCTACTTTTAAATTATTTTCTGCAGCTTCTTGTGGCGCATAGGATGAATAATGATCAAATTATTTGTCTGTAGTGTTCCATTGTGAAATCTGCTGGCAAACTATTCTGAGAACGAATCTATTATTTATCAATTATTATTGGGTAGTTGACTTAATCTTAATCCTGTTCTTTAGATGATTTCTTTGGTTTTATGTTATTTTTTAGACTTGGGGAGGGAGAAGTAAGGCAAATGGATAAGTGAAAAGAAGTGTCTATTGAGTTACCCCAGGCTTCATTAGTCTGTACTGAGACCTGAATTTTTCATTTAGAGGGTTTGGAATTTCAGTACAAATGTATTAAAGCCAATAATATAACTGAGAATAGTAGTTGACTGCTGTCAAGAAGCAGGATTTAGAAGAGGAAATTACCTTGTTTTTTTCATGAGTGTTTTCTGACAGGAGAAGTGTCTTGGAACTCAATAGTTACACTGGAAAGGAATGCGTTGAAGTAGTGGCAGACTTTATTTCATCCTGGCTTGAGCACTGCCGTCTTGTCCCTGTCTCCTTGCTACCCTGGTCCTTTTCCACATTACGCCAGTATTCATAAGTAAACATGAGGTTTCATGAATGACATGAGATGAATTTCATCTTTGCTGTCAATAAAGCAAGCAGTTCTTTCTCCTTAGCCGCTATTCGCATGTACCATTTGGTGTCCTTGTATCAGCATACGTATTCTTGAAGCCATATGGCAAATAGGATCAATGTCATTTGGTTGAAAAAGTAATTTGGGGGGGGAACTCCAGCCTTGCCCCGCCACCTACCCCCAACCCTCTTCAAATTTCTTTTTTTGAGTTGACTTCTCCTGCAGTGTCACAGTATTTGTTGCTGATCTAAGGCAGTAAATATGTGGCCGGAGGGGCTGATGTTGACAATGCCTGTTTTGACAGCAACCTGCTGTTAGATTGACTTAATCTGATACTGTGATCTCCCTCTGTGGCTTATTTTCTCCATCTCCTTGTTAAGCTAGTTCTGGTCTCTTCCTCTAAGTCCTAATCTCTTTTCATGTCCAGTTTCAGGCTTTTCCCAACTAGCCCTTTATTCTTCAGTCCACTAGCTGCTCTTAGAATCTTAATCCTAACAACTTCTTCTCTCCCTTTCCCTCCATTCTCTGACCAGTTCAATCTGCTCTCCCTCTGTATTGTTCATTCTTTTCAGCCTCCCTGCCAGTTTTTGTTTCCTTCTTTTGCCTCCTTGGCCCACTCTTGCCAAATCCATTGTCTAGCTCTGTTCTATTTTTCTCTACTGGCCTGTTTTTTTTCCTCCTCAGCTTTCTAAATTTTTGGCTTCCTTTTTCTTAATGCATGATAGAAAAGGGTCTTGAAGAGCACCAGAGTTAAAAACTTGGCATTCAGTTGTAATTTCCAAGCCCCTCCTGCTTTGGAAGAAGACAGGGGAATACTAGAACGCTTGAGCAACTTGTTTTTAAAAGAAGCAAAATTCAGTCTGTTTTCAACCAGGTACTGCTGCAATATAGAATACCTACTTTTGAAAGATGTACCCTACCTTAAATATGTTGCGACAATAAAATATGTATGCAAGTGGAATCACAATATTTAGTCTATTTTGGGATTTTGCTTGAATTCCCTTTGCATCCCCTTTGCAGTTATCACTTATGTTATGCTGTATTAGTGTTCAGGACCACAATATCTATGAAAAAATCTTGTTGTTAGTCTTTTTTTTTTCTTTTTTTGACTTGATATTCCATTAATTGTTGGGTTAGTTAACTGTTGCATGGATTACTTAAATAGGAGGTTTTAGGCAGTTTGAAAACTGCTCCTGCTTTTTACTAACTAACTAGTTAGAATTTATAAGTGAGAGTGAAGGATTTAGGAAATGTCTGCATTATATTAAACGCTGCATGGGTGAGGTATCTTGGAAATGAGGGGCGGCATGAATTCTCTCCACAGCTGTAAGAGTCATTCTTTGGTTTTATAGGCTAATGCAAAAAGTCTTGCATACTGCAGTGAGTTAAAATAGAATTCTTCTCTTAAAATAACTGAAGGAGTGTATTAAAGGAGTCTTAAATACTTTTACAACAGTTAAATTTCTTATATACTTTTATGTTTTGTTGATGTTATTTTGTAGAAGTGAAATGGTGGTGGTTGAGTGGCATGTGATTTTAACCTGATACATTGTTATTCTCTGCCGGAATATGCTTTTTGCTGGTGTTGGATGACTTCTCTGTTACATGGATGTTGGCTTTGGAAATGGGTGTTTTCTGTTCTTAGTGGATTTTTTTTTTTTTTAATCCAGTGACATTTTGTAATGCTAAATTCTTTACAAAAAAAAAGCTTAAATTTCAACATGTGCTCTCTTAGTACCTGGTTATTTTATTGATATTTTATTGATATTGTAGCATTTGTTGTAGTTGGCTTCAGCATTAGGAATTAGGCTAACTTGGGCTGATTAGAGGTTGCTTATGGATAGTTTTAAGTGCTGTGAGACAGTTAAGTGAAATGGTGCTCTTACACAGTCTCTTTCTCCCTTGCCAGTACAGAAAAGCATATTACATGCTTCTGTTCATGCCAACAGATTATTCCCCCCCCTTTCTAAAGACTGAATCCAGTTTTCTATCTTAAATTTAGCCAGTGCTGTATCTGTACATGAGAGAAGTATGTACTCAGATATAACTGGTAGACTAACTTTTGTATTTGAAACTGCTTCTTTGAACTTGTTAGCCAAAGCTTTCTCTCTGTGCTTGGTGATCTAGCCTTGAAAATTGTCATCTGCTGTATTGCCTAAAGATGACTCGGAGAGGAAAAAAAACATAAAACCAAACTACAGACACAATGCTAAAACAAGGTTACAAGGCTTGTGGTAGTCTTTTAAATTGCACAAAAGTGGATGCTTACCAAAATTGCCAAGTTTTTTAAAAAGAGTTCTAAGTATGTAGTTTTCTAACAAAATTTTTTTGCCCCCTTCCATGTATGTAGATTTAAAAAGTATACTGGAGTGTGGGTAGAATTGTGTTTACTAGACAGGGAGATGTGGGCAGTCATTACTAAGTCTCCATTTTGACTACGGTATGTGTAGATTTTCATATGTACAGTTACGAGTTGTGGTTAAAATAGCTTTCTAGAACACAGAGCTAGTCAGCTATTGTAAATCAGTGTTTGTCTACATTCTTCCAGGGACTCAATTTTGCCTGTACTGCCAGCATTTTTTTTTTTCATCTTGGCCTGATTTTGTTGGCAGCTGTGAGTACTGTGGTAACTTCCTTTAATGATGCTGTTCTTTCCAGGCTAGGTTGAAACTTGTTTGGCTTTTCTTTTACGTTTTCAATATCTAATGAGCTTCACGTATATTTTCCAGTTTGTTTGTGTAATGTGTTAAGGATTGCCGTTCCTGTATATTCAGTAGAGCTGGGTCTGAGGCACAGCTCTCCCTTGAATGGCTGAAGTGACTTGGTAATATCCTGTTGCAACCATTCTGTTAACAGCCCCATGTTCCTGCTCTCAGCTGTTCTGAAGAACAGCTAATCTCGAACAGAAAAGATGTAAAAAGTCAAATTTTACGTGTAGTATTTAGATCCTCTGTAACTTTCTGAAATGTTCTCAAATGTAAGTCAGGTATCTTCCTCAATCAGGTTTAGTGAACTTGTAAAATCCTGTATTAGAAATTGACATAAATCTTTGTATTTTCAAAGCAGTGCTTGCCAGGTATGTTTTGACAATGGCTAATAGTCTGTTTCGTTTGACTGTGGCTTCATATCAACAATGACATGAAGCTGTTCACCCTCATGATTAAAGAATCATGTTGCTTCGGGTATTCCGACACTTTCGTGGAATTTTGCATTCTTTGTGTTCTTGCCACGTTTCTTTAGGAAAAAATGCGCACCCTTTATGGGCGTTTTTCCTCCCTCCCCTTGACAACACAGGATGGACAGTTGGTTATTTGGCAGTTTCTGTCATCTTATATTGTCTCCTTTCCTCACTCTCTCCCGATACTTATTACTAGAAATTTGTAGAATAAATATTTTTTTCTGTTGTATTTTTCTTAAAAAGAAACCCTGCCGAGATAAACTTTTCTCCCCTCTACCCCACAACCAGCTCCCCACCTATTTTCTGTCATCTGTCTGTAATACAGTTATCTCTTGTAACAGTGGATGGACTGTCTTTTTCCTCTTTTGGTGAGAGCTGAGAAGCTCTATGTGTGTGCTTTAATCATTGCATCACTGTGTCAATAGCAATCAAGAGGGTAAGATCTGTTCAGTTCCTGATTTCTGCAAACTCCCTACTTCTGTGATGGCACCTATCTTAAGTTAATAGATGTCTTAATTCAAATTTTTCTACTCCTAATTGGTCTAAGGCAGATTTTTGCCCATTACTGGTTTTCAGTACTTTAGTTTCCTTCCTCGTATTGTTGCCTGCCTTCCTGAGCTGTCTCAAAGTGAAGGTAATGGGTGCAGTTCTACTAAAAGTGTTTTGCTTATATATCTCTCTCTATATAGGAAATGTACAAACTAACATGGTTTTGCTAGAAGGACAAAATACAAAGTGTATAATGAAAGTAAGTAACTTTAGTGCCAGTTACTGAAGTAGGAAAGCATATGGCTTATTTTTGCTAGCAAAAAACCAAATTTCATGACATGAGGGAACAAACCAGCCCCAGTCTTTGATGCATTCCAACTTCTCTTACATGCAAAATCATTACTATCTTGTAGATGGATGAAAAGTAAGTGATACCTCTCAGTGCAAGTTAGTGAGGTGTGTTGTTCATCACTGTCAGTTTGATGTTTTGCTGTCCTATTCAATAGGAGTGATCATCTCTGCATGTCAAGAGCAGCTGGTCAGCCATGTGGCTTTTCTTGATTTTGTATGTTATACAGTGTTTGGGACTTCTTTGGAAATTACTTATTTCATATATATTTTTTAAAATGTTTGTTTCTTTGGGAATGGGAACTTCGTTTTGATTCTTTAGATACTGGGATGTTGAATTTTGAAAATATATTGAAGCTTAACTAATTTAACTTTTGTGTATGTGAAACAAGTACATGCAGGAAATAAACTTTCTTATAGTCTAAATGCAAAATCTGTTTCTGTTTCTTCTTTGTGTTGCTTGTATTTGTAACTTGACTTTAGCACCAAAGTCCTGGAATTGTAATCTCTTAGGTTTAGCAGGCACTGTGCCTTGTTGCCTCTGTTGGTTAACTGTTGTCAGTGGAAATGGAAAAATCCTTTATACTAAGCATGGAAACATTGTACGTAAACATACTCACTTGATGCTGTTCAATTACTCTGAAACTGGCAAAGCCAAAACTGTAGGAACTTTTCTTTATTTCTCTTCTGCTTTGTCTCTTGTGTTGAAAATTCCTCAGAAATGCCAGAAAGTAAAATGACTACTGCTGACCTCTCTGTTTTCAGAGGCATTATGGAAGAAAAGGTAGTATTTACAATAACATTGCAGCTGAATGATTTCCTTGCCAGAACAGCACTGACATGTTAGTCTTACACAGGCTGTAAGCTCCAGCAAATCCACACTGGCTAAGTGCAAGTCTGGGAAAGGTGTCTCTGCACTGCTCTTTGCAGGACATGGGGTTCCAAGGCTATTCATTAGGGCAAGCGTAGAATCGTTTGTATGAATGAAGCTACAACTACTTACCCATGTGTAGCTGAACTGCTAAATCGTGAGGGAGCCCAAAACTGCAGAGCTACTGGGGAGTGTTCTGCTGGAATCAGCTCCACTCCATCCAGGCGTATTAAGTTCTGATTACAGTGGGCCTGGCACCAAGATCTCTGCACTCCATTTCTCCGTTACAGATTTATCTGCATGTCCCTCCCCCTTCCTGCCCTACTCTCCAATTTTTGAGCATATCACCGTTTTCCTTAATAGTAGATAAATCAGGAGTTACCTGTGTATCAGAAGTTTTGTTTTAGAGGCCATGTATGATCTATCTAACAGGCTTTCTTGCTTGCTAGGTTTCAGTGTTCGTCTTGAAAAGCTGAGTGTCATGTGGGCCGAGGCAGATAACACGTCAGGCAAAGATTTAGTTGAATAGGACAAAGATCTTGGGCATATTCAAAGCTTAGTGATGCAATTTGGTAAATCTTACCAGTTTCGTAGGTGCAAGTTTTTTACTTAGAATTTATTCAGAAAACATGAGCATTAAAGTCAAACTAAGATTTTACAGGAAGCTACTTTGTCAAGGTTTCACACTTTACATATAAGGCTAACCTTATTGCTGCTTACCTTCATGAGGAGTTGAAAACACTGCTTTATATATGAATTCTGTATTTTTTTTTCAACGTCTACACTACAGCTTTTTTTTCCTCTTACGATTTTTTTTTTCTTGTGATTTCTAGCTTCGAATTTGAACAATACAAGTAACAAATTCTTTAAAGAGAAAGTGCAAACTTTAGATTATAGAATCAGTGTATCTGACTAGTACTGTTAGGGTTAAAAAGTATGTTTTTCTTTTGTAGCACTGAAGAGCACAGAGATCTTCTAACATTTTTCAGAAGCCTTTCAACTTACGCTGAGTGGTATGAACATCGTAGACGGACCTTCCTACATTTCAAGGTAGTGCTCCTCAAACCTTTATTTATCAGTTATGTTTAGTTCTTAAAGAGTTCATTAAGACAAAGCAATGGAGGTGAAATAAGCACTCTTTAGTAGGGTATGGGAATCTTAATATTTTATCTTGTGGAGAAGAGAATATTAGCTGAAAATTTTTGTGTTGTGTTCAAGGGGCAGTGCCCTTGGTTGGTATTTGTCTTGATCTTTACCATGCTGTTACTGTGTGCCTCATGTGTGGGGCAAAATAAGAATATCTGTGCCTTTCTGTGGGAGAGTAAGACAATTTTTCATTGGTATTACTTTTCATTTTGAAGGAAAAAAAGAGTCCAAAAAAGAAATTAAAAGAAAATAACATTTGTAGTCCTTGACAGTCTGGAGGATTGGATCTGTCTAAAATGTGGCAGCATGTGTTTGGGCAACAGCACTTTCAGTTCTGAAGTATTTTACTTGAATTGGAAAGAAACTGTTCCTCACTCTTCACTGGAACAGTGTTTGAACTTAGTTAGAATTACTGTTCTTTGGCTTGCTTGCTTTGTCTTTGTACTGATTTTAAGATAAACAGCTAATCCTTGGAGTAAAAATGACTGCAGTCTTACAGACACAAAATATCTTATGTGATGTTCAGTGTTAGAGGAGGACGTTTAGCTGCTTAATTGTATGTGGCTTCTTCAGTTTTATTTAGCTCATGCATTTTCTGTCATGAAACTCAGCACTGTCTTTGCTGTTCAGCTGTAGTATGAAGTGGGAACTGCTTAGTTTCCTATTTTTTGAATCTTTTAGGCCTTTCTGAGTTCTGTGCTAGATTAATCAGTTTCTGTTATCAGTTAATCAACCAGATTAAAGGAAAAGAAGTGCTGATTTCTGATCATGTTAAAAAAAAATAACCCTATCCTCAGCTGAGTAATAAACCAATGTTGTCTAATCCTGCTTGTTGTATAAGAACTTTTCTTTAATCCCTCCATGGAGAAGATGGCTTTTTGGCTTTGTGGTGTGTTTTTTTTGACTGTTTTTCCCAATTTCACTTGATGCTTTCTGATCCTGAAATCAGCCTCATGGCAGCAGTCCTTGTGGTTTCTGGGACAGTGGTTCAGGGAACTGTTGTAAATATTTCTCATTTTAAAATTCAGTACAAAAATTAAAAAATAGAAAGGAGATAGGTCTGGAGATGATTTTTAAATTGTCATGTGTATCTTAAGCAGTTTTAAAAAGTATTTGTTCAGACATTGAATGTAAACAATGAAAGGCTATATTCGTCGCTAAAAGATGCGTGAAGATAAATTCACTGAAGACATATATTACAAGTTTGTCAATATTACAAATAGTCTTTCTAAAGGTATTTTTCTTTCCACGGACAAAGATGCTATTGAGAAAAGCAAACCAGTTTGGGAGAATATTTATCAAATATGGTTGACTATGGAATTATGAAGAGTTTTCTAGGCCTTCTTATTTTGCTAGTGTTAGTGATGATTTAATTTAGGAATAGAAGACTTTCTGAGGTGGGAGAATTAGTAAAGGGTTGAAAGATCAAATCTGACAGTTCAAATAATCAGATTACTAAGAAGAATGTGTATTTGTAACTTGATATTCTGTAGTAATTTGTGTGAAAGCAACTAGAAGTGTGCTTTTAATATCTGCATGAAAGCAAGTGAAGAGTCTTACCTTGTTAGTATTCACACTTGGACAACATTAAAAAATGAGTCTGTAACCTTTGTATTTTCTTCCTACCCGCTTGCTAGGCTTCAAGTATATTGACAGGCAACTGCACAGGGTTGGAGAGAAGACTACTGGGATGGGGTTCTGGGTTTATAGCTTTTGTGTGATTTAAAAGAAAATTACCCAGGCTCTTAAGTAGAAATACACAGTGCTTCTAATAGTTTTCTCACAGTGTAGTGTAAAACCAGGAAAGGTTTTTTATTTTCTGTTAGTTTTGTTACTTGAGAATAAAAGAATAATGTAGAAGTGATTGAATACTTCAAATAATAGTGAATGTTTGAGATGAATGACAGTTGCAAGTTTCAAGCGAAGTTGGACAGCACTGTATTTCTAAAAAGTAGACTGTCACAAATGGCAGTTTTGTAGTGAGAGTTTTCCCAGTTAATGAGAGTAATGGTGGGATGGATTGCTTTTTTGCTTAATCCAAGTTATTTAAAATATATATTGATTTGAGTGTAAGCAGGCTTTCCTAGAAACCAGGGGCAGGTTTAGGTTGGTGTGAGTAGAGCACTGTTTGGTTGTAAGCATTTTGTGCTCTGCATTATGTACTCCCTGACGTTGTGCTTTAGCAGTTGTTTGCTGAGACAGAGTAGTCCACAACTTCATGCTTCACGCGTGCAGACATGCAGTCGAGAGCTGAGCATACTGTTACTACCCTCTGCTGCTGCTCCTCTATTCTATTGAAAAAAACCTACTAAGTAGTGCTTGAAATAGGTTTTGAAGAGGTGAGTGAAGTGTCCTGCAAGTCTTTTGTATGGCATTAGTTGTATGGCAAGCTCGTACTGTATTGCCACAATAAATATTATGGCTGCAAAATGGATTTACATCTGCAAATAATTTTCCGATCTGGACACACCCGTAGTCTGCTGTGAGGCTGAGCAACTGAAGCATGTTGGCATTGCTGGAAGAGCAGATTGTTGAAGCTGATATTGATAAACAAGAAAAAAAGATTCAAGTTTTATTGGAAATATGGAAATACACAGAGTGCTAGGAAAAAAATAGAATGGTGTACATTCAGCTTGACATTAGTACTGATCACACAAATGGAAGGCAAAAAATCCTGCATACTGAAGCCCTTCTCACTTAATGTTTTGATGGGTTAACTTGCTATCAATGGGGAAAGTAAATTTAAATGTATCGGATAACTTATTGCTTGCATGAGGCGTTCAGATGGTACTAGGTGTCTGGTTTGCTCACAAAATATTAGGAGCGTTAATTAGTGTTACTGTTGATATTTAGTACTTTTAAAAAATATATACAACACTAATGTAAAATTAATAATGTGGTAGTGGTTAGGTCTTAGCATGTTTACGTGTGTATATTACATAAATGTGCACATATTTGTGTATACACATGATAATTTTCATAAGAAGAGCTTTGGTGATACTTGCTGATCCTATTAATACTGGAAAGAGCTTTATTTAGTAATAATGATTTTCAATGAGAATAAGATCACAGGCCACTGCTTATGTAACGTTATTACCCTTACACTTCCAGCTGTGTTTTCTCCTTCTTAGGCATTTATCAAAAGAGGGATGAGAGAATTGATGGCTTTTATTTTTTTCTAGTAGAAATTTAGCTTGAAGTTGGAATGTATTTTTACATGTTTTGTGGGTTTGTTTTTTTTTTTTTTACCTTTTGCTAAAACCCTGGAAACAACAGAGGTTTATGACTTACATGGGAAAATGAATCATAGAATCATAGAATGGTTTGGGTTGGAACGGACCTCAAAGATCATCTAGTTCCAACCCCCCTGCCATGGGCAGGGACACTCTCCACTACACCAGGTTGCTCAAAGCCTCATCCAACCTGGCCTTGAAAACCAAGTATTATTCTCATTGTCATACTCAGTTTTGTTTTTATGTGTAGTAAGACAATGGAATTTCTTTCCTGTTATACCAAATAGCTTAAAATGGAAAATATTGGGGATTGCTATGTCTCTTTTGGGTAGTGGGTTCAGGGCAAAAATATTCTTGTCCTATGTTTCATGATTGCATCCTCTTTCCAGAAAGATGAGCCCACAGTTGATGCTTGACACAGTCACTTAAAAAGTGACTGGAAGTCACTTAGGTCTGAACACTCCTAGTGGCAGAGCATCAGTATGTTCAGAATCAAGTGTGCACTTAATTCCTCGTAGCACAAGCACTAACAAATCAAGGCTTAGCAAAATAAGATAAACAAAACTAATACAAAATGTCTTGTAAAATCAGTATTCTAGATGTACTGATACATCATCATGCATTTGATGCTTAACTAGTTCTACAAATTAGGAATCTATTCTAGCTTCAAAATTAGTAAGAAGTTGGTATGTTAATAGTAACTAACACACTTTTGGTGTTCATTTATCTGAAGAGTTTACACCTATAGCAGGTATTTGAGGGGAGAAACTGAAACTGAAATGTCAGAGAGGTATAGTTGTGTGATTAAAAACTTATTGTCCTGTATCAATTATGTCTAGTTTTAGGTGGACTGACTGAAGCTTGCACACATCAATTTGTGTTTTTAATACACTGCATGGTTTAAAGTAGTTGAGTGAGATGCTGCTAGTTTAATTTGCTTCAAGTAACATGATTTTTAGATTAATACTAGAATCAACTTTCCATTTCAATTTAAAATTCTGATTTGATTTTTTCCTAATGAGTGAAAGCATTGCTGTACAAGGGTGCCTCTGTTTTTTTGCACTGACTTCTAGCTGAAATGTTACTTATTTACAGGTAAAAACATGAGTTCAACTTTACTGTTAATTATACTGTCACTTTCCCTGTCAAGAAAAAGCGGAACAAGGCTCAGTCTGTATCATCTGTGAATAACAAAGATACATGGAGTCATGCTATGCTGCACGTTGACCATCATATTAATATGGGAAGCTGGTGTTGCAAAAATGACTCTTGTGAGTACAGCTGAGCAAAATTCATGTATTTCAATGAAAAGTACCATGAGTTAAAAAACACAAACAAAAAAAAACCCAAACAAAAAACCCGAAACAACAAAACAAAACAAAAACCCCAAAAAGCCCTGTAAAAAGAACAAAAAACACCCCACAACCAACCAAAGAAGAAAAACCCCACCAAAACCAAACCCCAACAAACAAAAAAAAAACCCCAACCACATATATGATCTATATACCCATACACACTGTTAGGTTATTTTGAAAGCAAAATAGTAGAAGGAGATTTAACACATCTTCGAAAAGTCACACTTTATGTTGCTTGGTACGCTAAGCCTAAATAGGAATTATTATCTTTTTCCACAAAGCAAGTTTTTAAGGAAGCTTTAATGAAGTTAGGCTTTGAGCAGTTCTGTTCCTAAACAGAACTTTCTTTTGTAAGTAACTTCATCCAATACACTTTTGAAGGTCAACTGAAAAAGTTTCATTTCAGATTAAAAGAGTGGGATTGGAATTAAGATGTATTTTTCCTCTGTAGCTTGCTCAAATAATGTCTTGTGTTTATCTCAAAGTAAAATGTCGCAGTTGTTCTGGGTACTGGTAAAGAACATGAATGAGCAGTTACTTGTGATTTTACCTACCCATAAAGAGTATGTGGTGAAATAGAAGCTGAGAAGATAGGTGTGTGCATATATATATATATATATTTTACACTTTGATTCACGGAAAAGATTCTGAAAGAGGGGTTACACCCTAAGTACTAAATCAAGTGGCTGTTTTGAAATAGTTATTTCGAGGAGAACCACGTTTCAACATAGTAAAAGTTTCTGGGTATGCAGGGAAAATGGCGTTAGTGAGGGAGAGGATATAAACATGTAAACAGAGAAAAAAGAATGATCTTTTGTCACCATGTTGAAGTTTTGGCATGGATAATTACGTGAGTAGTGGCTAGTAGTATGTTCCTACAGGCAGTGTTCTCAAGCAGGAAAACGCGTTAACGTGCTTTGCCAAGAGGATCGGATTGCCCTCCATCCTTATCTCATCCATACTTGTGCGGATGTAACGGGTGTTATTGGATTTGCAGAATGTGTCATCGGTGATTGTGGTGATATTGTTGTACTGCAAAACAAAACAATGTTTTACAAATATACACACACGCATATATATACACACACTCCCTCATATGTTGAAGAATTTTCAAACTTTAATTTTATTCCTCTTACCCTCCCAAGTTTGTCATTTGGTTTGATCTGTGTATAGTATCGATATGTAGAATCAAGTCTCTTCAAACTAATCAATGAGCTGATCAGCAGCTTGAGGTTGTTATTGATGTTTGAAATGTGTTGTTGATAAAAGATTATTGCTTATTTTTACTGTTTCCTGTCTTTGATATACAGAAACTAATGAGAAATTTTTGCATGGTAATGAGCTAACAACCAACTTCTGAACACTGGATGGTTGTGGCCATGCAGATGAGAGGTAAATTGTTTTATTGGGAGGAGCATTAGACAACTACAGCACAACTGCAGCGTGAACTGTTTTAAAAGAGAGTAGGCTTGCTTTGAAGTGTGTAACTAATGAGGCTATTCATAACAGCACGTGAAGGAAATACTTCAAAAATACCTGAAGGTGAAGAATACGCAGACTTTCCGGTAAGTTAAGGGGAACAGATTCCAGTGCGTTATGTCCTAAGTAGAGGTAGGCCAAATTTGTCAGCTTCTAATACAAAGAAAGAGATATTAAAGAAATATTAGTATTAACCCTGATATTACTTACCTGAGGTAAAGAAATGTGCCTGTTACAAGACATCAGTATTTGTTTTCTGATCGCATAGAAAGCCTGTCAAGTGATCTAACATGAAACATTCTTTTGCTGTGGATGTTGGAATCTGTTGTATCAAGAAACTCTCAGAACAGGCCTATGTTTTGGAAATGTCAGTGTCGGCTTATTGGTTATAAAAGTTGAGACCACTATAAAGCTATATCCTTGTTTATTAGTATTTATATGGTCCTCAGAACTGTATTTGAGCCATCGATTTCTGAATGGAGTTTTTCTTTGCATGTAAAAGAAGAAAGGAAGTAGGTAAGATATGTTGTAGACAATTTTTTTCTATGAACAACATGAGAGAGTGAGTGCACAAAGGGCCATTATTCCAAAGTGCCGTAAAAACAAAACAAAAGCTGGAATGCTTCTTCATCATAGTTTGTTTCTTAGATTACAAAAATACAGAAAAATCCATTTGGTGGTATATTGGATAGCCTGGTTATAAATTTTATTTACTTTGGTTACCTGCATTATTGTCTCTTACTTACCTTGAAAGCGTTTGCTTTGATTCCTCTGCTCTTGATTCTGTTTTGGTTTGCGTTAAATGTTGTTAGTTTGGGAGGTAGAACAGGAAGTTTTAAAAGTCGATTTTCAGCAAGAGAAAGCTCTTCCAATAACAGAAGCTTTGAAAAGGCTCCGTCTTCTATTTCTTCTATCCTATTTCCGCTAAAATCAATTCTTCTCAAGGTAGCTTTACACAAAAGACATGAAAATCTGAATACTGAATTTATAATTACATGGCATATGAAATGTGTATGATTGTATCTGTTAAATGTTACACTGTTGGCTGTACTGTCCTAATTGTGTTCTACAAGTGTAAATACTATTCAAATATGGATAAAAATCCGCATCTGGCTTTCCTCATAAATTTTTAAAAAAAAGGAAAGTACTTTGGACACTTACTTTTTTCTTAGAGACAACATGATTTCAAACATTCATTGAATTTGTCATGTTGAAGAGTGACATAGCTGGGAGAGGTATCCCTGGAGCACTTGAAGGAAAATACCTGGGCATTTAAGACTGGCTGAGATGCAGAGTTAAGTTTTATTGTTAGTAAACTGCTCTTTCTCTGATTGTGTGGGAATATTAAGATGGATGCATTGGCCCAAATGGGTTTCCATGTTGCCTTCACCATTCCTGTTCTAATCCAAGCATTGAATTAACTAAGTGATGCACCTAAGGAAATATAGCAAAGTATGAAATGTGTCTTATTTTGGTAATCTTGGTGTGCTATTAAGGGATAACAACTTCAAATATGCTGTCAGGTAAACGGAAATTAAAACTAGAACATTACTTACTAATGTCAGCAAAATCGGCGACTGCTATCCTTTTGATTTTGTTAAATCGTGCGTAAAGGTACGCTGTTTCCTTTGGCAGTGGGGGTACAGCTTCGATGTCTATTTCCTCACAGTACACCGAGCCGCTTAAACACACACAGAGCAGACAAGTAGGTAAATCTGAAAGCAAATTATTTGTAGGAGACAGTTAAAGATTATTCTGCTAACTTAAGCTTGCATATCCAAAGTAGAATTTTCTCTAGTATCTCATAAGATTTACATCTTACATATTTAAAAAATTCTGTTCGTGCCAAGTTCTGAAAAAAATTAATATTCTGAACTTTTTTGAGTTTTGTTGTCTTTTTATTGCGCATAATTTCCCTATGTCTGTTCTCTGCTTGTAGCCGAGCGTGTCTTGAAGTGCTGTTAGTCGATCTTAATTCAGTTTCATTCTTTAATTGGCTTTAGAGTATTGTGAATGACACCTGCAACTCTGTGGCCATGTTAAATGTCATCCTTAGAACCATTGCACTGGAGCGTTTCTGGCAGGGCTGTGTATGCTCTGTGTTACTGCTACCTACTCTTTTGTCTAATCCTTATAAAAACTCCACCAATTATGATTGTATGATTACTTTAGGCACTCTGTTCCAGTGTTTGACTGACAGTTTTTATAGCTGTTCTTTCAGTAGTGAGAGAAACTGTTCTCTTTTTTTAGCGCAGTGTAAGCCCATTATGGCTTGTCCTGTTCTTTATAGACACTAGTAGACTATTAGTCATTTCTGCTTTGCAGTAATCATGTATGACAGCAGTATTAAAATACATAAAACAAATACAGCTTTCAATCCAGTTTTGTCACCACTGCTATCTGATCTACTTTTTTCTATATTGTGAGATTTTTTGTTTAGCTTCCGAATTTGTCTGTCTGTAGTACAGAGAGTAGTGTTATACTACCAGGTAGTTTGTTATCACTACGTAGCAAAACAGGATATTCTGCAACTCATGACAAGCTATAGAAGTAGCCAGTCCACACTGGGAAGCCAACCCAGT